TTAGATAGATAAATTGTCAAAAAATCTCACATATAAAATATCTCATTCATGGGGAAGTTGAATACATAAAACTGATTTAATTTATAATTCCTCAGTCCGAAACACATGTGCCTAGGACTTGCGTAACTACTTTTATTAATTTTCTGTGCTCCTACTAACAAGATAGATATTTAATTTTTTCCATTTTGGATTAAAGGCACCTTTATTTCCAGAATTTTCAAGTATAGGCATAAAGCACATACACATTTTAAGAGTTTTCTTGCAAAATGCAACATCTCAGCAAAAGCTGCTGTTAGCATTTCCAATTTACCATAATTTAAAAGAGATCCAAGAAGGAGAGTTATGAGAACACATGGAGCCTTACAGTATAATTATTCTAAAAAGACATAGTATACCCTTATCAGAAATAATTGAAATCTAAGTAAGTTGCCTGTCAGAGTCCGTGAGGCCTAATTCCTGTCCTCTCTCCCTGCGACTGCCAACATCATGACTAAGCATGTGTATTGCTGTTGTCTAGAATACCTGGCACATGTGTGATGATTCCATTTTTAAATTTTTATTATAGACTTGCAGGTGCTCAGTTAATGTTTTTATCCATGCTCACATTTTTCTAGAGAGGTTTCCAAGAAAAAGTGCACCAGGGGACAGCTGTTTGGCACAGGAGTTGAGACACTGCATGGAGTGTCTGAGTTTGAGTTCTGGTTCCACTTCTGATTCCAGCTTCTGCTAATGTGTCCCCTGAGGGGGCAGCAGATCATGGCTCAAGTACTTGGGTCCCTGCCACCCACAGAGGAGACCTGGACTGAGATCGGGGGATCCTGGCTTTGGCCTGGCCGACTCCTGGTTCTTCAAGCATCTGGGGAGTAAACCAGTGGATAGATCTTCCTTCCTGCCTGCCTGCCTGCCTTCCTCTCTTTCTCTCCCTCCCCCCCCCCCCCCGCCTGTCAAGTAAAATGAGACTAAATAAATACAAATGTTTTAAAAAGTACATTAGAGTTATATTGGACTTTTCAATTTTGAAGAACTTTTAATGACATGATCCCAGTTGACCTACAAAATTGTGATTCCAAACAAGAGAAAGCGAGCATTATCATCTCTATCTTATAGACTGAGACTGATGCTTAAAAATCCTCCTCAGGCCAAACAGCCAGTACTGGGTAAAACCAGGTCTTCAGACTTCGAATCTATGCTGTAGTTTTTAAGATACAAAGCTGCTTACCTAATTCAGACATGAGGTTGGGTTACTGCATGGTGGGTTTTTAACTGCAAGCCTCCCAGCTTCATCAGGAAGATGTAATAATTTATTATTTTAATTTGTTTGTTTTTCCAAAGAGCTGGTAGGTGCTTTTTTTATTTTGCCATAATTTCCATAATTTCTCTCTAGAAATCCTCAAGGATGCAGTCAGAACTCAGTTCTTTGATGTTCCTGTTTCAGAAGAATTTACCCATGATGGGGACAGCACCCACGGTGCCTGTGTTCTGATTCTATGGTGCTGTTGAGAGAGGATGGGGCTGTGCTCATTTGAACCAGAAATCCTTGAGGGCAGAGTAGTGGCCAGAATTAGGACAGAAATTATGCGGAGTCCCCAGCCGTCTTCCTCTCCATCACATTTTCAAGAGGCAAACAGAGAAGTATATAGAAGAGACAAAATCACATGAGTTACTTCCTTTCTCTAGATGCAAGAGTCACATAGCTGAACACTGTAGAACAAGAGACATAAACTTTCCGATGTAACATTTTTACTCAGTGCTGCATCTACAGAGAAACAAAATAAGAAAATCCTTTACCTAACTCATGGTCCCTCATCACATGCAGACACACTCAGCCATCTTACAGGGATACCACACTTTTTAAGGTGAACATCATTAGCCATTTCCCCTCCCTCAATTGTTAGGAACCATTCTAAAATGTTAGCTCCAGGTCTCTCAATGTACAAGAGGAGCACCAAAAGCAAGCGTGAATGAGCCCTTGTCTAAGGACCCCCACACTGCCATCCTCATGTCCACTAGGACAGGGAAGCTGCTGTTGGCTGCTCCCACTGATAGAGCGCCCAGGAATCCCCAGCTGTCAGGAGGTGAAGTGACCCCTGGCAGCACTCCTGTTAGCCTCCTGCCCAGCTCTCTTTAATCTCTATGTACAGAATGGAGACAGAACTATCAAGACTTGGGATAGGGGCATTGTTTATGAAGGCAAAGGACAGTCCTAATATTGTAGTGACAGTTGCACAAGCATTACAAATGTATTTTGTAACCTGGTGCTATACACCAAACCTTCTAAGAAAGCTTTAAAAAAAGATATATACATATATATACACATATATAATATGGATATATATAGCTATAGATAGATAGATAGATAGATAGAGATACAGAGATATAGATAGATAGTCATTCTGATGAGAAAACCAAAAGTTCCATTCTTATCAGGAATATGGCTATGGAATAAAATATTAAAGTCTTCCCAGAGGAGGCACAATCTAGAATGCTCAATAGTAGGTGTAACACCGTGAGCAAAGTGCTAAATGGTGGGAGGAAATGAGAATATGGGAAATTATGCTGGAAAAGACATTAATTAGGTTATACAGATTTTACAAATGCAAAAATCCAGGTTCCTGGAGAAGTGATTATAATATATTTAATGTTTTTTAAAACATGTATACAGTGCATACTATTGCCCAATTTAAAAAGAGCAATCTACAGAGAGACACAAAAGCTCTGATGAACCTCCCAGACATAATGTAAATGAAAGAAGCCAGACACAACAGAGAACATAATGTGTGAGGATTCGACGGACATCATCTTTGGGAACAAAGTGATCAAAGGCAGAAGCAACTGGAACGGCGGCCTTCGACAGGGCTGAGGAAGGCATTGTGAGCCAGTGAGTAGGGAGGAACAGAAGAACACTATGCGGGGAGATGGAAAGGTTCCCATCCCTCCATGGGATAGGGTATAGGTTACACAGGTTAACTCATTTGCCAAAACGGGACTGGTAAGATTTGTGCATATCAATGCAAGTAACTTTTATCTCAAAAAACTGAAAACAAAAATCAATCTTACAGTGTGGTGAGGCAGAAACAAGGGTGCAGGGGGTACAATAACTCTGAGGTTTCCTCTGAACACATCCGAGACCTTTAGTAAGAGACACTTTTGAAAGACGGATGTCTGGAGCTACTGGTCCAGGACTTCCTTTTTCAATCCTTTCTTTTCCTCAGTAAGCTTCCCATTTTCAATCAGGTCCTCTTCCTATCGTGAGCCTCTCCTCCCATCTTTCCAAGAGTAAGGGGAAACTTGAGAGCCCCAGGAAGCCAGCCCCAGGAGCCCACCCAAGGCCTCTCTCCACACTGGGCCTCTAAGAGCCCGCCTGTCATTCGTGGTTGAGCAGGCAGGAGCCAAATTGCCAGGAAACGGCTTCCCCAATCAGTGTCACACAGCAGTTTGCCCTTGAGAAATATCCCTCCCTGGTCTGTCCATCTGAGATAGCCAAATACCTTTTAAGAACAAAACTGCTTCATTCTCACGAAAGAAAAGAACAACAACAAAATACACAGTAGACTGCCCTCTGAACACATCTTTTTGTCAGGATAGCTCAAATTCTCTTACTCTCTGTATGTTTTTCATGTATTTTTTAAAGTTGCTTTCAAATTAGAATTCATAAACCATGAAATAGCAAACAAAATAGTATCAGCAGCACTTCTTTGCAGAAAACTGTTAAATTCATTGATGACTCTCCAACATGTCAACTTGCTTCCATCTAAGGAGCAAAGTGATATAAAAGGTGGTTGTAAGTAGTGAGTTATTCGTGTTTATTTTTCATTGATTTTATATGCACTACAAATGTATTTTAACATGATAATATCAAATACCACAGACTCAAAACTGGAGTTTAAACAAACTAACAAACTCAATGGGTTAAGGAGGCATTTCCTATTTTCCTATTTAGGGTAAAAGCTACACCACACAAACGCTTTGTGTGAATTACCTAGCAAGATGACTTTGAAGATCCATCAAATATACACTGTAATTCCATATAGGATGACTGCAAAACTACCTTGATTGCACTTGACCATCTGTTATTAAAATCCTCGTCCATTAGCAGTTGCTGCTTATTGCATAACACCAACAGATCTTGTAAAACACACTCACAGAGACCACAACAGCATTACTAAAGATCACACTTCAAGTTTGCAATAATTCCATTGTGAACAGAGTTGAGCTTTGAAACCACACTTCTAGAACCATCATGTCTGACCAGAGAACTTAAAAGGCAAACTCAACATGCCTCCCCAAATATTGCTACGGATGTTTTCCCAGGAGATGACTTTAGCTTCTTAATGTGCGTCCTGAAAATTAAAATTCATTGAATTATTCAAGTTCTAAATGACTCAAAGTTTATTTGTAAGATTACCTCTAATTGAGAATATTCATGTATGAGCCAAAGTTTGCTTTCCTCCAAATATGAACCTGAAGAAGATGTCTGAACCCTTTCTCTCTGCTCACAAGATAACTGAAATATAACCAAAGGCTCTCTTGATTTAAAGTGGAGTCATGAGCTCATCAAGCTGTGAAACATCTACACCAAACATACATTTTCAAGATTCACATGCACCTACAAATATATTTTTGTAAAACCAACACACATAAAACAATCCAAAGTGTAGACATTAATTTCAAACTTTTTGAGACAAATATATGTTTTCCCTGAGGCAAAGTAAAATGTAAGCCTTAAAATTATGTTATGCATATTGGTGTAATTACCTAATACCAAAGGCTGGCTTTTTCCTGTCTGACTCTACTCTTGATAACTGATACCTCTAAGAAAAAGATATAAATTAGGTTAGGCTGATGAAATAGTGAACTACTTAATTCATAACTTTCAAAATCATTAAAAATCGGTATAGAGCTTTTGAGAAATTTCCAGACACTCAGGTTACAACACAAATAGTCATTACAATTTTAAAAGTAATAACTCTTTCCTTAGGACTGACATTCTGTTTACTTACAGACTGTCCATTTATCCCCCGGGGGTCTTCCATTGAAGACTTCTTCTGAATTATAGATGGGCTATTAGCTACACACTTCTTCAAAGGCTCCCAACACCCCTGCACCTGTGAGGAACAGCGCATCAAGCAGCCGTATTAATTGCGTAGCATGAAATTAGGAGCTGATCTTGACATCTGCAGCTTGCCATTGACTAGCATGTATACACAAGTCAAGAACACTTACCTTCAGTGAATGAATCTTTAAAATAAATATTATGGGCTCACTGTTTATCACAATTTACATGAGCCAAATGTGGCCAAATTATAGCTCAGTTGTGCCTGCTGTCAGCAGCTGCAGCCCAAGGTGGGGGGCGAAGAAGAAGGATTGGGGCGGGGAGGGGGGTTCTAAAGACCTTTCTACACACATTGCTTTTGAGCCAACAGTACACGAACTCTTTTTCCCCCCAAATAACTCTTCTTTTTCTTTTTGAATTTAGTTTTCCATGCTATCTATCAATGTCAATTGTACCACAATGCAAAGAGGAAACACGAACAAAGAAATATGATTGTAGTCTGGGCAAGGATGAAAGAGAAAAAGCTAAGGTTGAGTGTTTCACCCCCAGGGCACGGATATTATTATACTATTTCTTAGCAAGACTGCATTAGGTCACAGTTTCACGGTTGATCAATTCTGCATCTTCAGACTCAACACCTTCAGGAAGAAGGGGTTTGGTGGATGTTTCAAAACATAAAAAATAAGTATGATATCTTGAAACGTATTCTACATGTAACCATCTTCAAAAAAAATATAGCCATCCAGCTGCCCTTCTGAATTTTCTAACTTCCAGAATTAATTTTAACACTCATGCTCAAATGAAGAAGCCAAAGGCACTACTTGGGCTTCACAACTGAGAAATTACTTTACATACATGTCTTATATAAGCCCAAATGCAGAGGTTTCATGTACACACACAAAAAAAGAGAAAAAAAGTCATGAGCTTAGTTTTACTAATATTAAGCAACAGATAACTTGAGTAGTTTAACCTCAGAGTCATTTTTTAAGGTACTTCAATGTTTGCATGCCAACATGATAGGAAAACCAGTGTAGCAGAAATCAAGAGACCTGAATTCAGGTTCTAATGCTGCCACACAGCTGAATCATATCAGGAAAATAATGGAGACTGTGCACCTCAGGTTTTTCATCTGTGAAATGGGATATTTCAGCTATGTGCTATCTTACTGCATTTTATTTTATACAGATATTTTTATTATGTAATTTAATGTGCATATGCATTTATATACATAACTTTCAGATAAAATAGTCTGAGTATAGTCCCTTTGAGAACTAATTTTGAAATATGGAAAAAATTCTGTTTTGCTCACAATGATCAATGCTGCAGAAAATAGGCCTTACCCACTGTCAAAACAGATGTGATGCTTCTTGGACAATATAAGACTCATAAGTAACAATATTCTTAAAATCTGGAGAATCTTTATTAAAATATCATTTTGTAATGTTAAGAAGAAGCAATTACATAATTTCAAGTTATGAATAAATAAGCATTGTATGGGTATATTTACAGTCTGTTAAACCAAGAAAACACATGATAGCGTTCTATTCTGAATTGTACAAAATTTTAGAACTGAATATTAAAATTCACCAGTATTGCTTTTAGAAGATTCCGTGCACAATTAGGGAAGAGCTATTATAGAATAAAATACATTTTTTCTGTTGCTTTAGTTCATCTCAGGAGGAACATTAACTTCTCCAGGAACTCCGTGGGATTTTAAAATGATGGTAATAATCCTGCCTTACATTGGTAAAAGTCATCACAGTTTACCAAACGCGTTGACAGAAGTTGCCCACAGTGCACATGTATACGGTAAGACAAAGTCCACTCTCATACCTCACAGAGGGGAGCAGGCCTAAGACAAAGCCCCCTCTGACTTCTCATAACCTCCCATCCTCTCCATACCTGTCCTGAGAACACGTTTCAATCAAAATCTGTATATTTGATCTTCCAGGATTATTTCCCATGTGTTTCTTTTCCATATTTCCATACTGAACTTACTGAACAGTTTAAGGTATTAAGAATGGTCAAGTTACATGAGCATGAAAGGTATTTCATTTGTAATTTTATTTCTGCTGAAGATGAAACCATTCTGCACTAAATATCATGTTTGTTATTGTTTCCTGGACTGAGAAAGAAAGGACTGAGATTATAGAGAAGTCAAAGCAGTCAGTATTCATCTACTTCAGGTAGATATTTCCAGTAAAAAAAGACTACCACTCAAAAATCTAAAATTCACAGAGAGTCATGGACTTTATTTACAAATCCTCTACTGCTTGCTAAATCAGCATAGTTGTTTCCAGATTTCTACATGTCAATCCAAACCATGAAATATATGACATGACTGGGTCTACTGATACTTAGAAGCCTGGCCCCGGTAAACCCTTAATTCCCTTGCAGGACTTGATCTTTCATAGTTTATAAATAAGCCTGCCTCCATTATAGCACTTATCTAGTGGGACTGCAATTACTTCTCTACCTCTCTCACCCACTCTGTAGCTTCATGAGTGCTGTTTTGGTCTGCTCACATATGGCCCTCATTAAATATTTTAAATAAATAATTGAATTAACAAATGGATGGGTATTGTTAATAGATTAAAAAATTTTAAGATTTATTAATTTATTTGAAAGGCAGAGTTAGAGAGAAGAAGAGAAAGGGAGTGATCAATCTTCCATCTGCTGGTTCATGCCCCAAATGGCTGCACCAACCAAGGCTGGGCCAGGACTGAACCACAAGCCAAGAGCTTCTTCTGGGTCTCCTGCATGGCTATAGGGGTCCAAGCACTTGGACGATCCTCTGCTGCTTTTCCAATAAAGCTGGATTGGAAGTGGAGCAGCCGGGACTTGAACCTGTGCCCACATGGCTTTAACTTGCTGATATTCAAAAGCATTTTTCAGATTTCTGGTCCTGGATGTGAGTTTCATGTAACCTAAGAAATAGGCTCAAGTAAAAATAGGTTACTTGATTGTTGTCTATCTATCCACCTCTGCTGACATATATAGAGGACAGCTCTTCATAAAACTGTACAGGCCTACATACAAGCATGTTTAGAAGTATAGCTAGAGGTAAAGTGCTAAGATAATTGTTTAAGCACAGGGACAGTTTCTAGAAAAGGAATAGAAAAATGTCCAAGGAGGCTACTTGAGGTATGGGTAGGGTAACAGGGGAGGGCTCAGTACTCACTACTGGAAAGATCAATGGGATAAGGTTTATTTTGGAGTACCAGAGGCAGAGACCTGATGACACAGGTGCCCCCACAGATCGAAGTGCTGTATGTCCAGTGGCTGCTACCCATTCCCAGGCCATCTCCAATAAGCACTCTGCCAGTGCAGGAACTGAGATAATTACCCATGTGTGCATTAATCTAAAATGGCAAAATCCTTTACCCACTCCCGAGTCAACAATGACAGCACCTGGAAGAAGAAGGTGCCCCCTGGAGTTGTACACAATGGAAGCCCACCCTTCTCCTGGTCACTGAAGGTCCTTTTAGAAAGAGACAAGGGACTGAGGTTCTGCCTGTGAAATCCAAGATGGCGGGTCAGTTAGCTACTCTGAGCATAGAGGAAAAGTCTGGAAGCTTTTCCTCAAATGTATTTATCACCTCCGCAGCTGAACAAACGTGAAGAAATAGCTACACAGCAGCAGACTGTGCTGAAATATAACCAGACTCCATAATTTTTAGATGCCTGCAGCCACCTGAGAGTATACCCCCAAGAGCAGACAGTGGCAAGCAGTCCCTTTCAAGGGCACTACAGCCCACAAGACACAGGGTCTCCCCAGTGGCAGTTGGTGGAGCCCCTTATTTGCATCCATAGTCCCAGGTCATTTGCCACCCTGCACACCTGCTGCTGCGCAGGACCAGGCAAGTGGCAAAAGGAACATCAGGGGGCTTCCCAGACAAGCAATAAGTAAGGAGCAAGGGAACCCTTTGAAATGATATTGTCAAACCTGGGGGTAATATGCCTTCTTAAATCCTTATCCTTAAAGTCACCTACCTAGGGAAATAGGAGAGGAGACCTCACTCATGGTCTTTGCTGGCCAAGGAGGTGCTTTAGGAAGCAAGGTTCTGTACTGTCGATGAGAAGTAAACTTTGTTAGGTGGGCAAAACCTCACACAGGATGCATGGAAGCTTTAGGACCTTTCTTACATTTGCCACTTGTCGGGGGTAGGGTGGGAAGGAGTTGAAATTAGGATACTCAATAGAAATTAGGACCTCAATAGACATTTTTCAAAAGAGGAAATCCAAATGGCCAACAGGCACATGAAAAAATGTTCAAGGTCATTAGCAATCAGGGAAATGCAAATCAAAACCACAATGAGGTTTCACCTCACCCCGGTTAGAATGGCTCACATGCAGAAATCTACCAACAACAGATGCTGGCGAGGATGTGGGGAAAAAGGGACACTAACCCACTGTTGGTGGGAATGCAAGCTGGTCAAGCCACTATGGAAGTCAGTCTGGAGATTCCTCAGAAACCTGAAGATAACCCTACCATTCGACCCAGCCATCCCACTCCTTGGAATTTACCCAAAGGAATTTAAATTGGCAAATAAAAAAGAGGTCTGCACCCTAATGTTTATTGCAGCTCAATTCACAATAGCTAAGACCTGGAACCAACCTAAATGCCCATCAACGATAGACTGGATAAAGAAATTATGGGATATGTACTCTTTAGAATACTATACCGCAGTAAGAAACAACGAAATCCAGTCATTTGCAACAAAATGGAGGAATCTGGAACACATCATGCTGAGTGAAATAAGCCAGTCCCAAAGGGACAAATACCATATGTTCTCCCTGATCGGTGACGACTGACTGAACACCAAGAGGGAAACCTGTTGGAGTGAGGTGGACACTATGGGAAATGGTGGCTTGATCAGCATAGCCCTGACTGTTAATGAACAACTTAATACATTATCCCTCTTAGTAGTTTTTTTATCTGTTCTACTTAATATGACTGGTTTAGATCTGTAATTGATGCACAGTTATTCTTAAGTGTTGAAAATTAACTGAAATGTGATCCCTGTTGAACATGGTGGTGGGAATGGGAGA